CGTCTTATTATTTCAAATTAAGAAAAATTTCAAATCAGAGAATCTCAATCTCCAATTCAATCTTTGTAACTCAATAATAGTGGCATTTAGGCAGTGTTTGCATTTTATGAATTTAAGGAGATATTAGTAGAGGGAAAAGAAAAGAGAAGCAAAACGTGGGAAAGCAAAATTAGTTGACATTCCCTCTACATTTTCTTTTACGTTTTATTTTCCTTCACAAATCCTTATTTCAATTCATTCATGATCCAAAAACAACCACAAAATTACAATGAAAAGAGTTGCCACAAGGGAATGTATCATTCACTAAATCAACTCGTTAGCATTTATAATGATGTTCTTGATTTTGCATATAATACTTTTCAATTGTATTTTTTGGTGTTTCGATCTGTAAATCAAAGGTAAACGCAGCGGATGAAAAATTATGGTTACACCTTTTTCTGCAGAGTCTGAATTGAAGGATCTCGTGGGTAAATCACGTGCTTCCTGAATCTGATCAATCAACCCAGCAATGGAGTGATATGACAGAATGAATATCACCCACACAAGTCACAGTGCAAAATGGCTCTTGATCGTTGTATTTTGGGAGAGAGTCAGTATATGGGAAAAAACATACGACATACGTTTTTTTTTCTCTTTTAATCACCCATATCCCATATCATATCAGATATATATCATAATATCACATCTATCCATATCAGTTGATATGATAGATGGGATATCCTGAGTGATTATCCAAATAGGTTTTGAATTCAAATTCAAACTTATTTGGATAAGGTTCAAAAGGTTCAAAAAAGGGTCAAGCCACATGGGCGCCCAATTTCTAACATCTCCCACTCGCACATGAGTTGGCATGACACTGCCACATCTCTATCTCAATCTCCAAAAAATGAACAATCTCATACTAGCCAATGCACCGTGCGACCGCTGAGAACACCTGCATGTGGGAGCTCTATACTAGAAACTCAATATGAGTCAGCATAGAGACATCAACCCAAAAAGAACAGAAATAGTGTCTCATGTACCCAAACCCATCTAGCTACATCAGTCCAAAAACATCTCTAATCCCTCAAAGAACATGTTTTGACTCTCCTAGGTCCCGCATTATATTCACACCCAATCAGCATCTCATAAAGAGCGATGTGAGTTGTCGATAGTGAATATAGAGCAGAGATGTAGAACTAGATGATCTTCTCTTTACCCTCATATCATTGAATTTGACATTGACCGCTTTCTTAGTAATGTCCCTTAAAGTCGAATCATACATGACCGCAGGCAATATGCCAAAGTAGCTGAACATCAACTCCTCATCTTATGACATAGTCAAAGGTCACAAAAGGCACAAAGTGAAGTCATTTAGGGAAAAATGACTTTTAGGACTCACACGGTGAAGAAGCAGGGATCCATTCTTTCACCTTGCTAACGGGTCGATAAGCACATGCAGTATGAATGCTTGTTATAGTGGAGTAACTCTTCCAAAGAGTGATGTTAAATTCACACACTATACAGATCTTAGTCTAGTCGCTCTTAAGTGCACAAGTCGCTTCCTAGCGTCTAACTCGAATTCTCTATTTGCTCACCTCTCAGGCATCAAATGAGATCTCGCATCTGGCTATCCATAACAGGCACATCATGGAAAAGTGGGTACTCTCATATCCATGGTCGGTCTCTAACAAGACCTCATCTTGGCTCCAACCAAGGCGACATAGCTAGTGGATAATTTTGGCTTTTCTATTTGCTCCAAATACAATAAGCCACTAGTCTCATCCTTACTCGCTACCTAGCGCTAAGGGCGATTGCTCGTGTGAGTGAGCCAATCTTGCCCGCTAACATCAATTTAATTATTTTGTGTATGCTAATTCACAAACCATTACAAAAGGTAGTAAACATAAATGTGTAATAGAAACAAATATGAATACTAATGGCATAAATATCCCAAAAATATGAGTTCAACTGAATACACATAAATATATCACCACCTACGTAGTCCTAAAGCCCTAACATGCATAAGATAAACATCTCTAGCAATGGGCTTAGTCAAAGGGTCCGCAACCATGCGACTCGTAGGGATGTGCTCCAGGATCACTTCTTTCTGCGCCACAATGTCTCTGATAAAGTTGAACCTCACATCAATGTGTTTGGTTCTGCCGTGGTATTTAGGATCCTTAGCGTAACACTGCTAGAAAACTGACTTTTAGCGGCATTTTAAAAACACCGCTATAGATATCAAAAACGCCGCTAATTGTTTTTGTGGCGTTTAGTACCAAACGTCGAAGATGCGGCCGTCACTATAGCTTTATGACGCTTTAAAAACATCTCTATATGTAGTATAGGCGGCGTTTTTAAAACGCCGCCGAATGTCCTGTCCTAACGGTATAATGACGTCACTGTGACATTTAGCGACGTTTTTAAACGCCATTATAGACATTTGTACATTTTTCAAATCTAGCCGTTGGGTAGGGATATAGTGACTTTTAAAAAACGCCGCCATAGCCTTTTTCAACAGAATACCCATCTAGCACAGTTCACCTTTCATTGACAAAAGGTTCTACCACACATCTCTCATAGAACATTAGAGAAAATTGGCTTCCTAGTTTCCAAACTGATTTTTCTGCATACACCACGCTAATATTTATCTGGCTCTAGAATTTCTATAAAGTGTCCTAACATGGACATGAAAGAGTTGAAATTTAGCAGGCATCCTCAAATCTTAATTGCTTTTCAATCAGCAAGAAATCACTCTAAAAGTAAAATGATTTACAAAAGCAATTGTAAGTGAATCTATACTTGCAACATAGTTGATACAGTACTTTAATGAATGTAAAAATGACAATCATTTCAGATTCTTCTTAGACACATTATTAATATCAATAAGATGTGATACATGTACAATTACATAATATATCTAGACACAATATATTGGAAATCATAGACGAAAATAACTAACCAATATCAACTAGAGAAATGCCTACCATCATTTGGAAGGCAACCATCACCCCATTTCCATCCTGAGAGCAAGGGCTTTATAGCAAGGCAATAGTGCTTGGATTAAAAATTACAACAGCTTAAGTATGGTGCATTCACAGCATAAACACCTGATATTTAATGGTGCATTCACAGCTTAACTGGCACAAATTATGGTGCATAATATGATTACCCCTAGAAAATTTGATTACTCCCAGTATTTTGTCTCAAAAATGCATACCACCCCCCTCAACTTTAAAACACTACAACCCCCCTACTCTAGACTAAAGTGAATGTTAGTTTCTCTATCCAATTGCTGGAATTACTTTTATACCCTTAAAAGTGATTGAAATATATTTGATGGTGCTCTGCAAATTTGCAAAGACTGTTATTACTCTACCTAAATTCAATAAAAACCATGATTTGTTTGAGAAGGTAATGCTTGAACTCGCTCTCGACAAGGATAATCACAAGGGAAGGATGCCAACGCCACAACCGAGTTCACTGTCTCAGGTTAACCCCTACCACACCTTACCGATCCCACTCTGCAGCCCCTCTGCTATCTGAAGAACACAGCTCTTGAGGATTTTGCACTTCAACATCAAAGTCATACCAGCATAATTGCTGAGTAAATATGTCCCTCTAAAATTCTTAATTTACCACAAAAATGAGCATGGGGAACTACTTATATAGACGTTATCCATGAACTACTCATCCGATTCAAGAGGCCTCATTGAATCAGGTGAAAGGCACACCACAAAATCCATAGTCCAGGTACAGCGATGGAGAAAATGGAAGGGTGAGATAAAAGATAAGAACAAAGGCATTAAATTTGAGTGAGAATCATTTCTTGTTGAGGCCATCTGTGTATTCAGTAGGTTTTTAAAGTTGAGGGGGATCATATCTATATATACAAACCATTTTATACATGTTCGGATGTTGCTTCTAATGGATACCATAGCAATAGAATAGCTCAACTAAATGACACAAAGCAAGCACGGGCAATAGAGCACCATCCTCCAAAATTGGTCAATTAGACATATGATGGGGAAATCACTAACCTGATCATGAAATTTTCCGTCTTTGAAAACTTCAAAGATGATCAACTAGAGACAGTATCTTCCCTCATAAATGCCCGGTGATGCTGTATAGGCACAAGAAACAATTAAATATCTTAAAAGGGCGATATTAAAACTGCATATATATAACAATTAAACAAAACTGGATAACAAAATCCGCGATCCAGCAGCTCAACGATCCTCAATTTTGTTTCAAAGATAGTGCTCACCACCTCAGCTTCCAACACCAAAGAATTACTTTCTAGAAAATTTTCTAGGCTACCAAAGAAACTGGAAACAGAAACATAAAGATTACAGACAATAGCCTGAAATGTGGGGCTCAAAGCACTATCCAAAAAAAACAAGAAGGAAAAAAAAAATAGAAATGAAGTCCAACTGGCACAAAAAATGAGATATGGTTATGAATGAGAGTCGAAAAATGCACCATCTGGTGATACTACACAAAATCAACTAGGCTATGCTATAACTAGATAACAGATCAACCTTGACATGCAAACTAAGCTAAGAAATTTCTATACGTATATTCTACACAATACACATGAGAGAGAGAGAGAGAGCGCGCTCCTAACAGAAAACTCAAAAAAATGGAGTGTGTCATGATGTTAAGAAGTTCCAGATTTCTTTCGTATTTTGACACTTCACCAGGATGCTCTGGTTTATTATTGTCGTTGTCATCAGTGTCGGCTGGATCAGTGTCAATGAAAGTCGTCCCATTCTCATCTTCACCTCCATATTCTGATGAACCATTTACCTCCTTACTCAACCCCATATTTTCAATCAACTTTGCTACATCTGCACTGTCTTGCACTGCATTGTAAATGAATAAATAATGAGTCAGCTCAACTGCGGTGCTGTTTGGTGCAACTTATAATGCTGCTTATAACTTTTCTTATTTTGAGTCTCTGTGTAAGTGTTTGGTGCAGCTTTTACTTATAGCTTATGAGACAGAAATAGCTCAAATAAAGTTGAAAAAAGCTGGGGAAATCATTCTTTTAGCTTCTATTTATCATCAACTTACAGCTTTGGAAAAGCTGCACCAAACAGGCTCTAAGAATAATTACACAACTACTGCTAAAAACAGGGAGGAAAATATTCAAATCTTGCCATCAGATGAGAACTCCTGAACTTCAACGCTATTGTATGTCGTAACCTGGACCAATGGAGTTGAATTGTCATACTCACTAGCACCTCCCAATGATGATGCTGAAGCAACTTCAGGTTTGGTACTGCTTCAACTATATCACCACCACCATCATCAACATGTTTCTCAGTTTTCTTTTTATATTAGCTGAAGAAGCTTGAGATGCCACGGCTATGCCTGCATTGAACCATGTTCAGATGAAAAATTTAGAACCATTACTGCTAGATCAAATCCCAATCAGGTGAAGTTAATGAAGATAATCCAACTTGATCACTTACATATGGAATCAAAAGATATTCGTTATCTCTCCTTTAATTGCATTAGAGTACTTCCATAACTTCCATTTTAATGCCTTTTTTCCCAAGTAGCTGGAAATTATGCTATGTGACCCCTCGGAAAACTGGTCCACCATGTATTCATTGACTCAGTTAACATTTAACAACAACAAAATCATATCCCAAGAAAAAGCAAGAAAAAAGGAAAATTTTTAAGGAGCAAATTTTCTAGGGTCAAAAGGCTAAAAGATTAAGTGCTCAAAGAAGGTGATATTAATTCCAAATTATTGACATGTAAAATTTGAAACCACATCACATGTAAAATTTGATTCATCTCCTATTTTCAAGCAAACTGGTTTTTACACTTCAATTATCAGTTCTGTTGCATACGGATACATTACCAGTTTCTAAGTCTAAGAAGAGGGGTTATTATCCATTAAATTGACTCAAGTCTCCTTTTATTAAACTCAATCTTCCTATGGTTTACCCTCCTATAAATTGGACATCAACGGTAGAGAACCCTTCAACATTAGATGATATTCGAGGGGGTTATGTAAGTTCCCACTCGGGAGAAATCTATAATAGGTTTCGTCTATTAACTTCTCGTGACTTTAGTAATTTCTATATCCATGATGATTACCCACGTAAGAAACAGAATTTCTAATATCATCATCAAGATAATTTGCCAAGATAATTTCCATAAGCACATAGTACATTATTAGAGAAACAATTAACATTAACAATCTCAAATGCAACATTTAAATTGATCCTTAATAAATTATTAAATTGATCCTCAATAAATTATTAGGTACCAACAGTAGCACCATGAATATATTATTTATTGTAATACAACAATGCATATTTGGAAATTCTAAAGATTAAGGGCAGCAACTTGAAATCATCAAAATATGAAATAGAGTAGATAATCTTCAATTCATACATGGATCAAGAGGTGATAATTTTTTATTTTTTTTTAAAGTTTCAAAAAATAATTTTTTAAATTCAAACTAAACAAAACCTTTATCTTTCTAAAAACACTAACAAAGATTGACCTTTTTTTGGCAATAAAAGACAAGGCTTTATAATACTAAAAGATTTTTGGGTGAATATAATACTAATAGATGATAAATAATAATATTGATTATTTTAATAAACTTCCTAAGTTAAGCATGCCATTTGCACTTAAATTTTTTAGTATTATTTATGTGTTGAATATATATAATTAAACGTTAGCAACTAAAATGAATATATATATAAATAAATAAATAAAAAATCAATACCAAAACGAAAAACGAAACAAAAAATTTAAAAACATCAAGGGGCATACCTTGTATTTTTCTGCCAGATAGAACTGCAAGTGCTACATATATATTTTCAGGATCTTGAGGTTGAAAATCAAAAACAAAGGCCTAGAAAAGAAAGAAATGTGATGAGAGAATTATGTTAGAATAAATAAATGCGTGTTCAAATTGGCCTATTGGATAGTAAGACTCTGTTTGGATAGAGGGAAAGCAAAATGGGAAGGAACTCAAATCCCAAAATCCAATAAAAATTATGAAATTCCCACGAGAATATGAATCAATCAAACCCTCCATCAGATGATTAGATGAGAAAACCTCAAAGCCCATTAATATATAGTTGTGAATATGTCTGCACTGTATATTGCATTGAAATCATAAAGAATAGAGAAGAGAATGAATCAGAGAGACTAGAAATCATCCAGCACATTCAATGTTTTCCACACAATGAATAAGGAAACAACTTGGAATTGCAACCCAAATAAGTACCTCATTACTAAAACCAGTTAAAGTACCACATCGATCTGCAAAAGAAGAAAAAAAAAACAAA